CACGCCCCCTCTGGCAATAGCTTCATTCAGTAAGAGCTTTGACCCCCAAGAGGATATGTGTAATCTGATTTGTAATTGGCACTAATTAATTTTAATCTCAGTGGGAACACTTCATGGGGGGTGGGGCTGATAATAACTGGGGGAGGGAAAGGAAAGGTATACATTCAGTTCCTTGCTGTATCCATAAAGGACGCTGGTGTGTTTATAGGCCAAAACTGGAGCGGCCAATTTTTCATTCTGCCCCTGCTCTTCTGCCATTTCAGTCTGCAGACAGTTATTTGGGAAATAATCTCGGGGAAACTTCTCAGTGCTGTGGGAAAAGATTCAACTGATTATTCTGTAGCGCAAAACTGACTAGCAACAGGCTGGGCATTTCTCCCCCTGCTCAGTTGGCAACCTTAAGGCCAACTAGATTGTGCCCTGGAATTGCCTTTAAACGGATGCAGCATTTTATGCAGGCTAATCTTTTCAAGGCATCTGACACAACAATGCGTCCCACAGCAATGAATCCTGCCAGAAGAAAATAATATAAACATAACAACCCTATTGCTCTGAACTCCCTATATCCCACTTCCTTGCTCATCCCAGCTTGATGGAAGCAGAATGGGACTCTGTGAAAAGCCAAAAGCCGGAGGAGGGTGCCAACTTTTGAACCATGTTTTGTCCAGAGTGCAGATTTTGGGCACTACTAAATGCTCCACCGGGAAGGTAAACGGCGTTTCCGTGTTCTGCTCTGGTTTGCCAGAAGCGGCTTCGTCATGTTGGTCACATGACCCGGAAGCTGTACGCCGGCTCCCTCAGTCAATAAAGCGAGATGAGCGCCGCAACCCCAGAGTTGGCCACGACTGGACCTAATGGTCAGGGGTCCCTTTACCTTTACCTTTAAATGCAGTGGAGACTGCTCTGTTAAGATAAATGGAGCTCTGCCTACCAACTTCAGTCGGCGAACTAATATCAGTGTACTGGAAGAAGCAAAGATCACCAGTGTTGAAGCAGCGATTCTTCAACATCAACTTTGTTGGGCTGGTCATGTTGTGCGGATGCCTGGTGATCGTCTTCCAAAGCAACTACTCTATTCCAAACTTAAAAATGGAAAGCTTAATGCTGGTGGTCAACAAAAGAGGTTTAAAGTCTGTCTCAAGGCAAATCTTTAAAAATGTAGTATAAACACTGACAACTGGGAAACACAGGCTTGCGAGTGCTCCAGTTGGAGAACAGCCTTTACCAAAGGTTTTGAAGGCTTTGAAGACACTCGAACTCAGGACGCAAGGTAGAAACGTGGTAAGAGAAAGGCACGTTTGGCAAACCCACACTGTGATCAACTCCCGCCCGGAAACCAATGTCCCCACTGTGGAAGGATGTGTGGATCCAGAATTGGCCTCCACAGTCACTTACGGACTCATTGTTAAAACCGTGTTTATGGAAGACAATCTTACTCGGCTACAAGTGATCGCCAAAGAAAGAAGCAGCCCTCAGACATCCCCCCCAACCCCACCTGCCTGTCTTATTTGCAACTGGTCCAGAGGCTGACCCTGCCTGCCAGCTTCCTGCACCTGCGTCTCCGTGTTGTCCCTTGCAGAACAAAACTGGAATTAGCCTATTACTGGTTCTGTATCCACTTACTGATTTCCTACCTTCCCCTCTATCAGTTCCAATGGGCACCGGCCACCACTAATTAAATGACAGCAAATTTTCAGTTAAATTCATTTACATTTGAAACTGGGTTGTTGTTCCATTGTATTGTGTGTGCCATGGAGTCTCTTTTATTATCTTTCTAAAACACCCTGCTAAGCCTGAGACACTCCTTGCCTGATTCACAGCTAAAGCAAACGAAATTTTATTGATTCATTCATTCATCAACCTGAATACAAAGCAAGGTAGATGTGGGATAATCAGCCTCCTATAACCATCATGCTTAAGTCTAATTAATACCAGGCTTAGCTCACCTTGAGTGGGAACAGGTAATCAAGTCTTTGTTCTCCTTCCAGTCTGCCTGAGAAACTTGGCACGTGAAGGGGTTTTGAGTTGGCTGCTGCAGCTCAGAGCGCATGGCTCTTACAAGTCGTTGTTGAGTTCCTATACTAATAATTTAGGAACTTTCACCACTGTAAATAAGCCAAGTTGTACTGCCTGTGTTTTCTGACTGATGTATGGAAAAGCACATGAACCTGACCTTTGGCGTGTTTGTAAAGAAACAATTTTTAACTTACCAACCTTGTCTTTTTCTATGTTGGGGGAAGAGTGGACTACTTTGGACTGTTATAAAGGTCTAACAGCCTATATTTCTATGCTTTACTTTGCTGCATGTTTTGTGATTTTAAATGCTGGTGTTCTCTCACCAAAGAGTACTTGCCCCAATCTTGGATCCTGGCATCCAGGGATTCTCCTTTTATATGACTATTTTTTCCTTGCCAACCAGCACTAAAGACCTCAAGGTATTTTGCCTCAAACCTCTGCTTCTGGGGTGGCTGGTCCTTTTTCCAGATACTCCATGGAAAAATCAACACAACCTAAAAAATGCAGACTACAGAAGTTTATTTAATCTCAAAGGCAGTTTCTATACTTTATTTATTTGCTACACAAAGCTGGCATCTGCTGTCTGCTGTCCCAAAGTTGTTTCAGTTGTTTGTGTTCATCTAGAAATCGGGACAATTTAAAGGTTGTGTCCAAGTAACTCCAACTTAGAGTAGACCCACCAAAATCAACTGGTAACTTTCATTTCCCTCAAGCCTGGCTGTGAAATATAGATAACAGAACACAATGAAGGCCACAAAGTAGATAAATAAGAGGAGTGTCTGTCTGAAAAGGAAATGAGAGAAATGTTTCCGGGCTTATTTCTTCAAGTATTTCTCCAGTTATGTCAGCATAAATGGAAACCAAACACAGCCTGGCTGGATTCAAGATGGTGCCTGTCATGGTAAAGTCTTGCTTGCTTTTTAATTTATTGCCTGCTGGGGAACATCTGGCTTCATGAGATGAATACTCTACAGGAGAATTTTCTACCTGAAGGGTTGAAAAACACACCACACATATTTCAGTTATGAGGTTTGCTCCCATACGATGGCCACCAACACAGATGGCTTTAAAAGAGGAATAGACAGATCAACGGAGGGGAAGGTTATCAGTGGTTACTAGCCATGGTGGTTATGTTCTGCCTCCATTGTTGGAGGCAATATGCCTCTGAATACCTGTTGTTTGGGAGTTGCAAGTTTGGAGAGTGCTGTTGTATTCAGGTCGTGCTTGCGGGCTTCCATTGGGGCATTTGGCTTTGCCAGTGTGAGAACAGGATGCAGCTAGGCTCTTCTTATGTTCTGTGGGGTGTGTATGCAGCATGTCTCCGTTATGCTTATATATTTGCAAATAAACCAAATATTAGAAAAACACCATTAAGTCTATTGTCTTCCTTTTTTCTTCAAATAAAACTGTATCTCCAAGTTGTACAGCCTCTTGAACATCTCACCATTTCGTCTCTCTCTATGCTATAACCTCACCTTGACACCATGTGGGGGTCCTGCCCCTCATGACAGTCCCTGCTCCCTTGGCAACAGCATCCCCCTTCTGACACGTCCACTAAGCAGCCCTGACTGGAGCCATTGTAGGGGGAACCCCAGGCAAGAGAAAAGGGACCATTATCCCTCCCCTTCCCTTCCCCAGTGAAAGGGTGAAGTCACTGTAGCAATTTTGACAAAAGTGGGTTTTGTTGGCAAGAGCCCCTCCGGCACCCTCTTCCCTTGGCTGTTGGCACCATTCCCACAACCTTTGTGACGGAGGACTTGTGATCTGTCCCCAGCCTTCATTTAGAGACAGCACTGCTTGCTGTGGATCTCCTTTTCAAGTCAAGGCAGGCAGGTTTGGCTGAGGCACTGGCATTTCCTGCCCTTTAAACCCCCTGGATTTAGCTTGTATTTCATTTGCATTTAAAGAAAAAAAGCAAAGTAGCATTAGCACAGTCTGCGTCAGTAGCTGTTGACCTGTCTGGATCAGAGGCTGTGTGTTGACCTCAGACATTTGTGGGCTACTATCAGGAAAACAGATTGTGAAGCTGAGGCTCCAATACTTTGGCCACCTCATGAGAAGAGAAGACTCCCTGGAAAAGACCCTGATGTTGGGAAAGATGGAGGGCACAAGGAGAAGGGGATGACAGAGGATGAGATGGTTGGATGGTGTTCTTGAAGCTACCAGCATGAATTTGATCAAACTGCGGGAGGCAGTGGAGGACAGAAGTGCCTGGCGTGCTCTGGTCCAGGGGGTCACGAAGAGTCGGACACGACTAAACGACTAAACAACAACAATCAGGCAAACAATGTTCAATGCAAACAAGTTGTGGACAGCAGTTCTTTTGGAGAGGCACTTGATGCCACAGACCTCTGGTGGCCAACATTTGAACTGGCCCCTGATCCTTAAGCAATCAGCAGTGAAGACTGGTTACCAAAAGGCCCTATCATGTCATACTCTGCCCAGTCTCTTAAGATGTGAGTGGGGAACCTATCTGGTCTCAGTGAATCTCTTTTCCCTTCCTTCTAGTGGATTAAAAACACATAATCATGCCCATGGAAGCGCCTCACAACTGTTTTCAGGAGCAACTCCCAGAAACATGAAAAAGAAAAACAATTTTAACATATTAACTATTAACTGTGATGGACACATATACGTGATGCATGTCAAGTTTTCCTCTCTCCACTGCAAATTGAAACCCAGGTTCCCCGTGACAGTAAGGAGATCTGCCCAATTTTTGCATCTCACATGACACGCCTGTTGTAAAAGACAGTGCATGCAATGTATACAACTGCTAACGCAACCATTGGGCAAATTAATGTATTTTCATATTTATATATTCCAGGAAAAGGAACTACAGTAAACAAATGCTATCAGTTTATATTGCGGCTGCGATTGCACCTGTGTGTAAGCCCCATTGCATTAAATGGGATTTGCTTTTAATGTTAACAAAAGGTTTTAGGTTAAAAGTCAATTTGACTCCTAACTAGGTTAGCCCAAGGTGATTGGGAAGTGCCCGGATGTCGCTCCACCCCTCCTCCGTTTTCGAAAGGGGCGGGCCCAAATGCAGCCGGCGAGTTGGAAGAGGCGGCGGCGGCATCAAAATGGCGGTCGCGACCCGAGGGCTGACTGTGAGTTTCTATGGTAACCGCCGTGTCCCCTCCATTACCACTCCCCCTTTCCTCCTTGCGTTATCCTTCCCTCCCCCTTCGGCCTTGGGTGGCCGATATTGGTTTAACTGCTCGTTTAATAGCAGCGCGCCTTCCGTTTCCACACTGTTCAAAACTATTGGTTCTTCCAACCCCGCTCCTTGCAACAGTATCTGCCTTCTTCATTATCTGTTGGTTTTGACGTTAGTGCCCTCCCGTTTCCTACCCCGGGAAAAATCTGCCAGCATTTGTATGGTTCCGCCCTTCTGATTTTGGGCACCCCCACCCGATTAATTATGGGGTGATCATATTTGGGATGTTAATGATTTTCGTGCAAATAGCCAGACTATAAATACCAATATTACAGATTTCTGTTATACATAACTATAATGGTAACGTTTATTGAATATGTGGGAAATAATTGTATAGCAGAAAACGATGGCAGCATTAAGATAAATTCAACAGTGTAAATAGGTTTTGATGGATGCAGTAATGGAGTACTGATGGGTATAGTTTCTGTGAAATAGGCAGGGATTCATGATATGTAAAATGAACTATGGAAAGAGAAGAAGGGAAGTCATTGATAACTTAAGGATGTAAAATGAGTATTTTAAATTGTAAAACAGAAAATTTAATAATAAAAAAGTACTGTGGGTTAAACCACAGAGCCTAGGGCTTGCTGATCAGAAGGTCAGCGGTTCGAATCCCCACAATGGGGTGAGCTCCCGTTGCTCAGTCCCTGCTCCTGCCAACCTAGCAGTTCGAAAGCACGTCAAAGTGCAAGTAGATAAATAGGTACCGCTCCAGCGGGAAGGTAAACAGCATTTCCGTGTGCTGCTCTGGTTCGCCAGAAGCGGCTTAGTCATGCTGGCCACATGACCCGGAAGCTGTACGCTGGCTCTCTTGGCCAATAAAGCGAGATGAGCGTCGCAACCACAGAGTCGGCCACGACTGGACCTAATGGTCAGGGGTCCCTTTACCTTTACCATGACATAGTGGGCACAATCCATGCTAAGTTAGATGAACATCAGTTGGATTTATGTTTTTAGTAACTTGTCTCAATAGTTTCAGTGCTGTGGGGGATAAATGCAGCTAACTTTGACTCAGTCTTAACCTCTCTTACTTGGGAGTAAGTCCCATTAAATTCACTAGGACTTCTGAGCAGACATAGGAACATAAGCTTTGGTCCATCTAACTCAGTGTTGTCTGCACACCGACTGGCAGAAGCTCTCCTAGGTTTCAGGCAGGGAGACTCCCCCAGGAGATGCCGGGGTTTTGAACCTGGGACCTTCTGCATGCAAAGCAGATGCTCTTATCACTAATAATAATAATAATAATAATAAATTTTATTTATATCCTGCCCTCCCCAGCCGAAGCTGGGCTCAGGGCGGCTAACAACAATCAAAACCAAGCTACAGCCCTTTCCCAAACACAATGTGGTTAGGATTATGCTGTTACTGTACAATGCTTCTGGATAAGGCACTATCTTGCAGACAAATAGCTGAGCGCTTCCCCACCACCCTGCTGCGTTCTTGATTAATTCTAAACCACTTAGAAGTCATTTTGTCATATAAGCAGGATATACATTAATAAATGAATAATTTGGCCCACCAGGCTTCACACAATGCATGGTTTAAGTCTTCTTTTCATAGCTATACCACTGTTTCTGGTGTACACCAGTGATACAATTTTCCCATGTTGTGTGTTCATAGAATTGTAGAGTTGGAAGGGACTCCAAGGGTTGTGTGGTCCAGCTCCCCGCAATTCAGGCCCCACCCCTCAATTGCTACCACTCCCACCCCTGTTTTCGCATTCCTGGAATGATATTTCTGTACCTCTGTGTGAAAAGGTCACAGGAAGTGTGCTAGAGCACACAATTTCCAAGGGTGCTTCCAGACCGTTGCTGTTTTGGGGTGGGATTCACTCACATTGTGGTTGCACAGTTAACATCTTGCACAGTAAGCCTGATTACCGTACTTTCAAAACCCAGACTTCCTGAAAACAGGAAAGTGGGGTCGAAATCCATTGGAAAGTGTGGGATTGCTTGCTTGCTTGGTGCAGCGTCTTCCCCTGAAGACTTGCCCTGAAACAAAGTGGGACCAATGCTCAATAAACAAGTCGTCCAGAAGTTCCCCAAAGATTACCAGCCCTTAGTTACCACGTTCTGCAGCAGAGGCTTGGGCTTTCTTTGTGGTGTGTGTGTATGTGTGTGTGAATATGTGAATATATTTTATCATGGAGCTTAAAACAGTGCCCATGTGGTGGCCACCAATTCAGACGCTGATCAGACTCAGACTTGCTTAGCTTCAGGCAATGGTCTGATGTGCCTTACAACCATGCCCATCACTGCTTAGAAATTTTCCTCAAGTGGTAAATAAATACCTGAAAGAAATAATAGATTTGGTTGTTTTGGGGGATTTAAAAAAATATTTTATTTTATTTTACAAAAGTTTCTGTCTTTGTTTTGAAAGGAATGGCCTGGCTTTGTAGGAGTGAATGTGAGCATTAGCTGAAGGGAAAAGATGATATCCAAAACTCTCCTCCACCCTCTCTATACCACAGATTAGCAGATACCTTTCAACTTTATAGCAATCCTTGTGGGATGAGGAAGCAAAAAAAGGCGTGTAAGAAGTCAGAGAGTTAAACCTGTTTTAGTGACCTAAGTTCATCTCGCCTTGCTCCCCACCCCCAGCACCATTTGGGAGTATAGTTCCCCCACTGCCCCATTGCCTGATGAAGGCTAAATTTGGGCTTAAAACAGCATGGAAATGGATGTTCGGTCAAGTGGAGTTTGTCAAGGACTTTGACATGTGAGACAGACCATGAAGTAAAACCAAAGACATTCTTGAAGTTTTATGGCTTTTTAAAATTGTGTTTGAAGATAATCCTTATTTTACTTACTACGTTCATCGAGTTACGTCTGTGTAAAACAATTCATATTGATAAGCATCTGCAGGCACAGTTCTGTGGCCACCCCATTTAACTTTTCTTCCAGTTGCACAAATCATACTGTGTAAAACATTCTGGCTATTCTCCTTTAATTTAAAATACCACAGTCCACCAGGATTCCAGTTGTCCCCACTGAAAAAGTAGGTACTCTTGTGTGACTTGTTAACCACAGCTCTCTTATAGGTTACTTAAGACAGTGTGAGGTAAGGGTCCTTTTTGGGCACTAAAGCCATTGGGTCAGCCTTCCCTAACCTGTGGCCCTCTCGATGTTGCAGGACTGCAGTTCCCATCATACCTGACCACTGGCCATGCTGGCCATGCTGGCTGGAGCTGGACTGAGAATTCTTCTTGAGAAGTTGGAATGTCCATAGATAGTCTGTAACACCAGAGCTGCTCAGCCAGTAAAGGTTGGAGGTAGAGCTTGTCTTCTGAGGACCAGTGGCTGTTATGTGGCATCAGGACATCAGAAGTAAATCTAGCATAGTGGTGGGGTACCTGTGGCCCTCCAGATATGGCTGGGCCTCAACTTCATTCACCCTTAACTAGAATCATAGAATCATAGAGTTGGAAGAGACCACAAGGGCCATTGAGTCCAACCCCCTGCCAAGCAGGAAACACCATCAGAGCACTCCTGACATATGGTTGTCAAGCCTCTGCTTAAAGACCTCCAAAGAAGGAGACTCCACCACACTCCTTGGCAGCAAATTCCATTGTCAAACAGCTCTTACTGTCAGGAAGTTCTTCCTAATGTTTAGGTGGAATCTTCTTTCTTGTACTTTGGATCCATTGCTCCGTGTCCGCTTCTCTGGAGCAGCAGAAAACAACCTTTCTCCCTCCTCTATGTGACATCCTTTTATATATTTGAACATGGCTATCATATCACCCCTTAACCTCCTCTTCTCCAGGCTAAACATGCCCAGCTCCCTTAGCCGTTCCTCATAAGGCATCGTTTCCAGGCCTTTGACCATTTTGGTTGCCCTCCTCTGGACACGTTCCAGTTTGTCAGTGTCCTTCTTGAACTGTGGTGCCCAGAACTGGACACAGTACTCCAGGTGAGGTCTGACCAGAGCAGAATACAGTGGCACTATTACTTCCCTTGATCTAGATGCTATACTCCTATTGATGCTATACTACTGGCCATGCTGATGGAGTTCAGCAACATCTAGAGATCCCCAGATTGGGAAAGGTTGCATTGTGTCAGAACAGCATCAGTGCCATGAAGGCAGCAGGAGACAGTATGAGATGGGCCAAGCCAGGTCTAAATATTAGGAGCTTGGCCTTTTGACCTTGCTCATTCAACAGAGCAGACCATCGTTTAGGGAACGGCCATAGCTCAGTAGTCAAGCCATGTATAGGTAGGCCCAGGAAAGACTGTTCACTCAGACTCTGGAGAGCTGCTTCCATCCCATCAGTGGATTGAGGGACCTGTGAGGCCCTCCAAATGTTTTTCAGACTCCAACTCCAGCCAGTGTCGCCAATGGCCAGGGATAGTGGAAGCTCCTTGGGTGGCCATCTGTCATGTATGCTTTAGCGGTTGGACTTGAGGACCCTTGGGATCCCTTCCAACTGTACAGTTCTGTGATTCTGTGAACATCTGGGGGGTCCCAGATTTCTCATTCTTGGTGTAGACAATATTGAGGCAGATGGACTGACTTCCTGTGTTTGTGCACAATTGCCAGGCCAGCGATAGCCTCTCAAGGTTTAAATTCAGCTGGTAAAATTCTTGTGGCTTAGCTGTTAGCTCAAACTTGTCTGCCAGGTTACAGTGTGCTCCCCTGGGTTAACCTAAGACCCCCTTCCCCTTGAATAGGCTACATTGGACTGGAGCAACACTCTGTGCCTTCGGTATTTCCTGTGGGGGTTTAAGCACAGCATGCAACCGACAGCTTCAAGGTTGTTTTGTGTGCAACGTAATACCCCGCAGGGGGCTCCAAGCCTGCGCATTTTAAGCAGCTGTCAGATGCTTCAAAATATTCCTTTCCTTTACCCCTGCACCCTGTGCCTTTATTTCTGTTTTCTTTTAAGCAATTGTTGCTTGAACTTCTT